TCTTTGTGAACGAAGGTGATGAAAGAGTTGATATCCCTCAATATGACATGTTTCAGGCACAATTTGCCAAGCCTCACATATGGCAACGACGCTCGCGGCGGCTGACCTGACTGTGGTTGCCAGCTCGTCGAACTTGTTAGCTAGGGAAGTGACGTTGGATAGCAGTAAAGACGGGAGATCATACCATATCCGTGGAACTTCAGTGAGGTGGTATGGTCTGTCAGGGGTGGGTTTCTCCGGTTTCCTAGTGGAGGTTACGGTTCTAATGGGCTTATGTGTATGACGGCCTTGTCTACGGCTCCGCGCGTGGAATATGTTCAGTGACTTGAGTCGCGCGATAACACTGCCATCAGGATAACCGTTCCCACGCTTTAGATGGTACAGAGTGCGTCGGGAGTAAGTGATTGGTGGCCATCTGTTGAGATCTGTTGTGGGCGGACGGAAGTGTTTGTCACTGACGGCACTTTGAGGGCCACTGACACTGGTAGACATCTGTTAATATTTGTCAGTCGTAAAGACCGTGGGTCTTTACGACTTTGTCCCTGGTGCTTGGGGTCGCCGACACAGTTATCACGATATATGTAAACACCGCGGTGGTCCTTGTCACTGGCACTTTAAAGGTGACCGATAAAGTGCCCACTGTCTGACTTTTCCTTGGGGTGCACTATCGAGCACTGTATAATAATCACTTATTGCACTGATGACTTGAATGCTTTGCTGAGAAAGTTCCTTAAGTGCACTATAGGAACACTGCTCCGTAATCAATCGTTCACTAATCACTAGAATGTTTTGCTGAATAGATCCCGGTGTAGTAAGGCTGGTAGGGCGTTGGGGTATAGCAGGGGGAGTGGCAGGGCCAAACAGACTCGGCCTGGCTGCTAAAACCGGGAGCGCCTTCGGGGCACGTCTTGTCTCACTGTATGTATGTATGTATGTATGTATGTATGTATGTATGTATGTATGTATGTATGTATGTATGTATGTATGTATATATATATATATATATATATATATATATATATATATATATATATATATATATATATATATATATATATATATATATATATATATATATATATGTGTGTGTTTAGTATTATTTGTGTCTTAAAAGTTTCGATAGTGAATCACTTTGTTGTGACAGCCTACAAGGCTCTTTATTGTGTTACTATTTAATTAAATTAAATTCTTAAAGGTTTACTTTACTTATTTTTTCCCTTTTAATTTACTTCCTTTTTTTGTTTGGTTACGCCTAGAACCTGGATATTAAAGCAAATTGAGCGTAACAATATATATATATATATATATATATATATATATATATATATATATATATATATATATATATATATATATATATATATATATATATATATATATATATATATATATATATATATATATATCTCAGTGGAATTGAAAAACATAATTATAATGGGGGAGCAGTACAACCTGGGTTGTACAGTAATAATGTTGAACAAGAGGACACAGATGTCAGGATTATGTCTAGTTGGCAATTATGTTCATTGCAATGGTAATTACTTATTTATTTACATGATAATTTCCGATAAAACGGTTTAGATGGTACAATAAAAGCAGGTACTTTAAATATCGTAAGTGTTACAAGAAATATTAATACTTCGACAATAGATATTTTTTAAGAGATGATTTAAAGGAAGGGAGCGTAGTCTTTGCTCTGATGGGTGAGGTTAAGTTGTTTCACACCTTGATATTTTATGGAGGTCTGGGACTGAGAGGAGGGCATGGGGGTGGTCTTAGTAGCTCTGGGTGCCTTAAGTTGTATCTCTGATTATTCCTGAACTGTAAATAATTATTGTCAAGCAAGTGGTTGATAGATTTGTAAACAAAGAGGGCACAGCAGTAGAGTTAATATCTTCGAATTTTAAAAATTTCAAAATAGCAAATTTTTCGTTTGTGTGATATGGTTTTTTTTTCATGTAGGTCATTGTCCGTACAACTCTCTTTTGTGCAGTAACCAGAGATTGTGTGTTTGAAGAGCCAGAGGCCCCTCATAGTGTGTGACAGTGTATCGGGTGTTGGTAAACAAGATCATGATAGATTTCTTTCATTGCTGTGAGAGTGACTGTCGAGTGTGATACATGATACAGCACTGTTTATTGATTTTACTGTGAATGGCTTGTACTGTATGTGGTTTCTCCAGTTAAGTTTCTCATCAACAATAACCCCGAGGAATTTAGTATTTTGTTCGCTTTTGAGAGCTATATTACCAAGGTACAGGGGGTTCAAGTCTGGGGGTAAGTTTTTCCTTCTGAGAAAGATCGTGTAGTGGGTTTTCTCAAGGTTTAAGGTCAGTTTATTACGTATTACCCAGGTCCTGACTTAAGTTAATTCAGTGTTCATAGTTCTCATCAAGGAATGGAGGTCTGAGTTGCTGGCATAGAGATTACTATCGTCTGCATCTGCAAGTTAGTTGTATTTTATGAGTGAGCTGGCGTGGACTATGTCGTTTATGTACAACAAAAACAGTACTGGACCGAGAATGGAACCTTGGGGGACTCCATACAAGATTGGCGAGGAGTCATATTGGTAGTTATTATAGCAAACATACTGCATCCTGATGGACAGATATGAGTTAAACCAATTGTGGGACAGGCCACTAACGCCGTAATGTTCAAGCTTTGAAAGGAGGATGGTATGGTCGACAGTATAGAAGGTTTTAGAGAGGTCCAAGAATATACAGACTGTGAACTGACTGTCATCAAAGGAATTTAAGATGTCATTAGTAAAGGATAGCAGAGCACTCTCAGTCGACCTTCTAGCTCTAAATCCAAACTGGGAGTCTGTAAAGATGTTATTGGCATTGCAGAAGGAATTTAGTCTATTACATGCTAGCTTTTCCAGTATCTTACTCAAGGCGGTAGTTATTGAAGAGACCTTTGTCCCCAGATTTTTTATATGCCGGGTGGACTTTAGTAATTTTCAGTTTATCCGGAAAGACACCACTAGTGAAGGAGGAGTTACAAATGTGGAGGAGAACAGGTAGTAATAAGTGGGCCACTTTCTTAATGATGCTCATTGGTATATTGTCTTCGCCTGCTGCTGCATCTTTGGACATTTTTATGATGGCCAGAAATTCATCTGCTGTGACAGGGGATAAGAATAGTTCATTTTGCTGTGTGTTTTGCAGGTAGGCTATAAATTCCTCATGGTGATCAGAGATGCTCTCTGCAAGATTTTTGCCAACATTAAAGCTCAGTGGGGAGCCAAAGGCAGAGTGTTCCTGTTCTGAATAGAATATATGACTTTCCAGGTTTTCTTACTGTCGCCTGATGGTGACTGGAGCTTATTTGTATAATAGTTATGTCTGGCATTTCTAACTGCTTGAGTTACTCTATTTCTGATACTTCGGTAAGCATCACCGAAAGTTATGGGTCTTTTTGCAAATTTCCTTTGAAGTTTGTGTTTTTCCTTTATCATTATCTTAATTTCGCTTGTGATATAGGGTTTGGAAATGGGTACAGTTTTCAATGACTTAGTCTCGAGCGGGAAGCATTTATTAAATCAAGCATTGAAGATGGAAGAGAAGTTACAGCTGTTCACGTTAGGGTTGTTGGAGGCATAGACAAGATACCAGTTAGCAATCATTAGATTGTTTTCAAAAAGGAGCATGTTGTTGGTGCAGTAGTCTCTGTATTGGATTAAGACTACTAGACCTTTCAGGTCTTGTGGCTGTTTTATACCTGGCAGAAACTGGGAAGTGATCTGAGATATTGTTATAAATACTTCCACTTGCGAGGTTGTTAGTAGTGTTGTTAGTCCAGATATGATCTATCACAGTGGCAGAGGTGGCAGTTACTCTAGTGGGTTTGGTTATAGTGTTGAAGAAGAGTTTAGAATGACAGGTAGCAAGAAGGTCTAATACTGAGGTGTCGGTTTCTGATTTTAATAGATCAAGGTTGAAATCTTCTGTAATGTAGCAATGTTTCCTCTCTGAACTTATGATAGAGATAAACTCCGAAAATTTATCCAGAAAATTCCTTACATTTGTGTGGGGTCTTCTGTAGATTACTCTTACTAGGATATTTCGTGTGTCGTTACGTAATTCAATAAAAACACTCCATGTACTCCTCCTGAACCTTTAAATCATCTCTTGCAGAAGTGTTGTACTTGATATCAACATATAGGGCGACACCACCTCTGTGTCGTGACGTGTTGACGCAGTGTCTATTATAATTAGGAATGTTATACAAATGGTCAATATCGTTAGTGAGTTTGGTCTCACAGAATCCAAGTACATCAAATTTGTGGGCAATAGAAGATAAACACTGATCTAAAAAGGTATCTAGACGAAGGGGAATACTGCTGATGTTATGGCTAATCGAGGAGAAGGAATGAGGTAGTAGGAGACTAGAACTAAACTCGGGGGAGTCAGGAAAGTAATAGTTACAGTTTGGGTTGGTGTAACCCAGTGAGTTTTGTAGAAAGACATCAGGGTCGATATGAGGGAGTATTGTGTCGACACCGTGGGTAAAGGGGGTGTAACACATACGATCTAGCACATCTAAGGGAATGACACTAGCATCATCATTGTGGGGACATTGATACTGATTAAGGAACAGTAAAAACTCAGGGTCACTGAGTTTTTACTGTTTTTACTGAGTACGTTACACCCCCTCCCCCCCATTATAATAGTGGGGGGGGGGTAACGTGCTCACAAGTTCTACAACCAACAGTTTTAGGATGACTGGTACTGAGGGTGATTCCCAGATGGAGTGGGAGGTGCTCCTGTCACTCGGTTTTGAGGGCTGCTGGTTTCCACCACAGAGGGTTGACGTGTAAGTACTCTTATGCACTGCCGAGTACCCAGCCGTGAACACATAATATACAATTATATTCGCTTGTAGCACCCATTCATAATATACGTCTAATGAAGACTAAATTAAGATTAAACTACCATACCAAATAAACGCACTGTCAGTAGACGCGTAAATGGACTTGGTGCTGGTGTGGGCGGGTATGTGTGGCAGCTGTTTGGGAGGGGAAGTGAGGCGCCTTAAGAGTTAGTCAGGGTGTTTAGTGACAGCCAGTGAGTGGTGTTCCTCCCCTCACAGTGTGTGTGTGTGTGTCTTGTCCTCATCAGTTCTTGCAGTCTTACTACTTTAAGCAATATTTGTAGGTACGTGCATTGAGTCTACTGGGCGTGGTCGTATTACAGGTTAGAATCTTATCTTCATTTTCATGCTATTTTATACAGAACTTAGGTACCAGTGGCGCCGTTAACTGCGTCAGACATTCTAGAATTACGAAAGGCACTATATATAACCACGGGAAGCCCTTCAGGGTAAAGTTCTTTTCTATTATTTACACACTTATAACTTTTTTTTTCTTCTTATTTTGTCTTCCTAAAATGAGTCTCGGGCGAACTGAAGTACTTTGTTTTCAAGCTAGGAAGATATCATTATTCCTTGGTAGATGTTTCCCAAACATGGCACGTCTTCTCCGGGTACTGTTGTGCCAACACTACAAAGGTCGTAACGAAGGGCTAGTAAGCTCATAACTGGTGAAATGATAAATTAATAAGAGACCAAGAGGTTGTACTGTACTGTATGTAGCTTACATAGCACCTTTCTTAACTAGGCGGTATCATGCTTTAAGAAAGCCATGCTTTGATTATTTCATTTTAATATTTAAAATGGATGGGTTCAGAAAAAAACATTAACATTTTTCATTTACTAAGTAAACACACTTGCATAGTGTATAAACACATTTTTATAGCCTGAGACAGATTGCGTATGTGTGACGTCACCATTGTCTCCACTGATGTCACGATTTGTTTATCTGTGGGGCACCTAACCATTCATAATTAATAATAATAATAATGCAACTAATACCGTAAATATGTGAATGATAAATTAGAGAGCTTTAAGAGAACAATCTGCCAATGTTTTGACACACCGAGTGTAAGCTGAGCTCACACTCGATGATGTCGCTGAGAGAAGGTTCAGATACATGCAGGAGCCAGTACATGCCCAGTACTTGCCAGCTGTGTGTAACAGAGACGTGACCGACCGCTTAAGCGGCTAATGAGCCGATCAGTGGCGAAGAGTGTAAAATATGTAAGTGGCAGAAGGTGGAAGTCTACCTTTTTTTAGTGTAAAGAAAATGGTTGTGCTTTCTTGCTCATTTAATACAGTATATACTAACTCAGACTGTAGGTAGTAGGCAACTATCAAACAGAGAGGTACCACAGCCTAAGAAGATATTGGACACTGCAGCCATATGTGACCATGTTCCCAGGTTGCTGATCTGACTGACTTTCTGCCTCATTTACACACAATTGCAGGGTCTCAATTGTTTCACTGACAACACAACACAACACACATTGTATATCCTTTCTAACTATATCTTCTTTTATTTTTTATTTATGGCTATACGAGTGCGAACAACTTCATATTTCCCCTGCATCTGTTGACGGCCTTGTAATATTTCAATGTGATTCTGATCTATTAAAATATTAATTTTTGCATAATGTAGTGTTAGTGATACGAAATTTGTCTTGGTATGCCTTATTGTTGGTAAAAAAGAAGTATATATTAAATGCATCCTCCGAAAGCGTTAATTTGCTACCAGAGTTTAACAGTTAACTCACGTATAATACCGCCGGATAGCTTCAAACATAGGTTGGAAGCTTACATGAGCAATAGGGGTTGGGTGTAAACGGGATTGCCCAGTATGGGCCAATAGGCCAGCTGCAGTTTCCTCCATTCTTATGTTCTTCATACTTCTGATAAACTTCCTACGTGCTCATGTTTGAAATAATATCATTCTCGCCACAAACGGTCATTCCAAAGATTATGGACAAACTTATCTAGAAATACATCATTACTTCACGACGAAATCAGACAGGTTTGTTACAGCCAATCAGCTGTAACTCTTGAGGAGGGGCGGAGATTTTTTCTCAGCTGAGAAAAAACGCATTATAGCAACTAACAAAAAATATGGTGAAAAAAACTGTTCTTGCTAAAATCATTGGTATTACACGTTAACCAATCTTTTTAAAACTTGTATATATTTTTATAAATTATTTTTTTTACAATTTTATTATTATTATTATTATTATTATTATTATTATTATTATTATTATTATTATATAATTTTCACCCCCAGGCCCCGATGTGGGTCAGTGACGTGGGCCCGGGTGGGCTAATCCCCGTAAAAAAAAAGGACTGAACACACGGACAAAATACGGAAATATCAATGAAATATTCGATGACCTTCTACATATTTGATACATTATGTTTATTTTCGTATTCACATGTTTCAGATATTCTCCGTGCAGTGTAAGAGGTGGTCGTGACGTCCAGTACCAAGGTGAAGTGACGTCAAGTAACATGTGGCGACACAGCCTGGTGGTGTTGTTGCTGTGGGCGGTGCTCGTTCAGTCAACAGTAAGTACACTGAGTTGGTTACACAGTTATCTTAACACACTGATGCACACAATTAGGGCCAGGGCTCTTATCACCAGTGTTTTGATAATTTGGAAGTAATAATCTTGTAAGAACTCCTATAACGACCTTGGAGGTTGTTCGCGGGTACTACTGTTCTTAGTTTGCCTTGACGTCACAGCTCCCATAATCCTCTGCGCGGTCCACCATCCTGTTGGTGTAAACGCGTTGCATTATGGGGGTATGTGACGTCCAAGGATGATATTATTAGCTTCTAAATTGAAAGGTGTTTAATTGTATTCAGTTTTGGAGTTAGTGACAAAGTGATTAATAACTGAATATCCTCCAGATTCGGTTTGTTTACACAGAGAGAGAGAGATCCAGCACTCGGGTTCTGGCGCTTGACGTCATTACTGATTGACGGAGGAATTTAGTCAGTGTAGTACAATCATATTATCAATGGAAAATAGTTGTTAAACATCTATCTCAATGTTATTAGAATTTCCTTTAACCCTTAAAGACCGGGTATATTTAGATAAATATGTTGTCCGCTCAGTACGGGGTATACTATTACTTTTATCCTCTTCGCCACTGATCGGCTTGTTAGCCGCTTGGGCGATCGGTCACGACTCTTTTCCTTTATATTCTTCACCAAAAGGTCGGCTCGCTAGCCGCCCGGGCGATCGGTCACGTCTCTGTCACGCACTGTTGGCAAATACTGGGCATGCACCGGCTCCTGAATGTACCTGAACCCGCTCCAGTGTTGGTCAAGTCTTCTCTTGAAAGAGCTCACACTCGGTGCCGTCACAACACTTTCTGGTAGATTGTTCCAAGAGTTTACAACCCTCACTCCGAAAAAGTTTGCCCTCACGGTTTTCCGGACTTGCGGCTTCTTCAATCTTGAGCTGTGACCCCTTGTGGGGCGAGCGTCCGCCAGCTCCAAGTAAGGACACTCAACTGAGTAGTGCCCCCTGAGATGCTTATAAACCTCAACTAGGTCCCCCCTTGCCCGTCTGTAGTATAAGCTAGGCAAGTTCAGGCGCTCCAATCTCGCAGGGTAGCTGAGATGCCGAAGTGCAGGCACCAGCTTGGTGGCCCTCCTTTGAACATTTTCAACCAACTGACAGTCCCTAGCATATCTCGGGGACCAGATGGGGTGACAGTACTCCAGATGGGGAAGCACTTCACTCCTGAAGATCGTCACGAGGGACGGACCGTCTAGATATCTGAACGACCTTCTTATAAGACCCAATAATTTATTTGCCTGATTTACCTTCTTCTCACAATGGCCCGAGAACTTCAGCTCATTGTCAACATACACACCTAGGTCCTTCTCACACACAGTCTCAACTAGTACATTTTCTTCATCCCGTTGGGACATATGGTACGCCTCCTTACCGTTGGTACGCCCCAGGTGCATCCTCTTACACTTCGTGACATTGAATCTCAGCAGCCATTCCTTCGACCATTCCTGGAGCCCACAGAGGTCCTTCTGCAGCTCTTCACAGTCCGCTTGGTTCTTAATTTCCCGAAATAACTTGGCGTCATCGGCAAACATTTGTATGGAGGAGTGTACAACGTCAGGCATATCATTTATGAAACAAACAAACAACAGCGGGCCCAATACACTACCCTGCGGTACCCCACTTGTTACAGGTACAGATGACGATTTCGTGCCATTAATCACCACACATTGCTTGCGGTCATGTAGAAAGTCTTCTATCCACGCTAGGACATTTCCCCGAATTCCGTACCCTTCCAGTTTGATTTTCAGCCTTTCGTGGGGTACACTGTCGAAAGCCTTGGCAAAATCTAGGTAAATATTGTCGATATTACCACCCCGTTCTAGAATATGGGTCCAAATATCCAATACCTTGAGCAATTGTGTCAAGCAAGAGCGCCCCGGCATAAAACCGTGTTGGCAATCTTTTACAAGGTTGTTTCGTAGTAGATGTTCCATCGCTGCATCTCTGATAATACTCTCAAGTACTTTACATATTATGCTGGTCAGGCTCACCGGTCTATAGTTGTTCGTGGAGTGCCTATCGCCCTTCTTGAAGATAGGACTCACATAAGCCACTTTCCATTCACTGGGGACCATTTGTTCATCCAGGCATTTACAAAACAGAATCTTCAGGGGCTCTGCAAGCTCGTTGCACAGCTCCCTTAGCACTCTAGGATGCACCATGTCAGGTCCAGGACTCTTATGGACCTTTAGCCTGGACAGTTTATTTCTAATACCCTCTTCTGTGAACACAATGTGGGTCAGTGCTGTGTCGAACCGTCTGTCCTCAAACGCAGGAAGGTTAGTTGCATCCTCTCTTGTGAACACTGAGGAAAAGAAGCTGTTCAATGCCTCAGCTTTATCCTGGTCAGAATCTGCGTAACTACCATCTTCAAGCCTCAGGTCTGATACTCCTACTCGCGTTTTCAATTTCGACTTTGCATAGCGGTAAAACGCCTTTGGGTTTGACTTGACCTCGCGTGCAACCAGCCTTTGGAACTCCTTTTCAGCCCTCCTACACTCTATCTTTGCTTGGTTTCTGGCTCTTGCATACATCCTCCTGTCTTGCTCATCGTTTGACCCAACCCACGTCTTGAATTTCTGGGTTTTCTTCTTAATTTTGTCGACCGCCGCATGGTTCATGTGTAGGGATCCCCTCGTATTCCTAGAAGCACTGGGTTTGGTCTTGGGTATATATTTATCGATCAAATGGGTCATTTTACTAGTTATGATATTCAGCGTAGTGTCTGCGTTCTTGTACCTTAATAAGTCAGGCCAGTTGATACCCCTCATCTCTTCCCTCATCCCATTGTAATTTCCCTTGTAATATTTGCACCTTGGCCTGGCCTTATCTTGAACTAGGTAACAGTTAAATCTGAATGACAACACTGTATGGTGACTGGTGCCAACTGGGGCAAGGTGTTCCAGTTTGGCCACCATACCCTCCTCGTTTGTTATGATGAGGTCAAGTGGCTTGGGTGTTTGTTCCCCTCTGTAATGTGTCGGGTCTCTCACATGTTGGAACAGAAAATTATCTCTCAGAGTTTCTACAAAAAGAGTAGCAGGATTATTCAAGTCATTCGGGGTTGACTCGTTTCTCCAGTCGATGTCGCCATAGTTAAAGTCCCCCATGATAAGGAGGTGGCTGGGGTTGAGCATCGCCGCATTGTTTATTAAGGTTCTTAAGTTCCTTTGATTTAGTGGGCCACAGTTCGGGGATCTGTAGATACACCCGACGATAAGTAAGTCCCCTCCCTTTAATTTAATTTTACACCACTTGGACTCTTCAAAGACATCCTCTCCCTGTACCCTCGCCTGGCTGGCTCTAAGGTCTTGCCTAGCGTAGATAACCACACCCCTCCTGCAGGATTCTTGAGTTAGGTTCGTAAATGAGTCATATCCAGCAATACTGAACTCACATTCCTCTGGGTCGATTCTCCTGTTCTTGTACAACAGTTCTACAACTCCTACAATATCTGGTTGGTGTACTCTTAGTAGTGTTTCAAACTCCTCCCTCTTATCCAGGAACGTGTCGGTATTAGTGTACATGACATTCAAGCCAGAATTTGTTCTCGGTAACGTCTCTGCTCTTAGTAATAAACCCGCTCCACCCACATTCTCAGAAGCTGCAGCATTTGCTAAGTACACTGTATTTTGCAGGGTGTGGTTAAAAATTTCATTGTTTACACGGCGCTCGTTCCCTCCTGTCCGGTAGGCTGAGCTGGTGCCGCCTCCCGGGTGGGGGGTTGAGTGGGTGGAGGGTGCACTGCTGCCCCCTGGCCCTGTGTCGGCACACTTGTTTCCACTACCCTCCCCCTGAGTATAACCCATGTGCACCTGTCCCCGTTCCTTCTCGACTCCTCCCTCCTCTGCTTCAAGTCCAGCAGGAGCTTCTTGTGCTGTTCCCTCTGCATTACCGTGCGGTCTGGGTGAATAAATACATCTCGAAATGCCTCGCTCCTTGCTAAGTTTTTTGCCTGCCGGATAACTTGCCATTTTTCCTCCTCACTCCCTAATGTGATCCTGAGGGGGCGAGGCTTAGCCCCCTGCTTTTGTCCCAGTCTCCTCACATCCTGAGGGGTTGCTGGAATCTTCAGAACCTCTGTGCAAATATTTTGAAACAGCACCTTGTCGTGTGTTTCCTTACTCACAGTTCCCTCTGCCTGGCTCTCTGGGACTCCAAAAACTATTACATTGTTCCTGCGCTGGAGCCGTTCCTGGTGTTCCTCCTCTCCCCTAACAGTAGGTCCGTTAATTTTCATTTCTTCGACACACTTTTTCAGAGTCCCAATCTGCTGTAGAACCTGTACTGATTCTGCATTACTCTCCGCCCCCCCCACCCGTGGCCCTCCTAATACGTCCGCATAGCTCCTCTTAGCAACCACCTCCATTCTATTAGCTACTTCCTCAGTCTTAGCAAGGATCTCTTTCTCAACTTGCTCCAGTTTGTCAACCAGCAGGGCTCCTGCTTCATCTATTTTCGTCCCTAGAGAACTCGTTCCCTTATGGATTGCAATCGCTTCATTCACCTTGACTATGCAGCCAGGGCAATACCAGCAACAGCCATCAAGCTTTACGGCAGTTAGTAACTTCCTAGACGTTGCATTAGTTAGGCCTGCATCCTCCATATCCGACGTCTCCCTGCAGTAATCACATACCAAACTCATGGTTGTTGTTGTTGTGGGGGGGGTGTAGACTGTGTATAGATCTACACCTATTTCAAAGAAAATAAAGAGAGAAAAAAGTACTTAGCTACTCTCTGTTGCCTATGGAGTTGTCGTCTGCGACTGCGTACCCTGTATCTCCCTGTGAATGGTGTATTGTAGGCACAGTTTCAGTCCTTGAGCAAGCACACAATCAACATAAAATAAAATTTAAAGTCTCTGTGGCACCTATGACACGACTTGGTTTCAGCTGGCACGGTGCCTTTCCAGCTTGCTTGCTAGTGAGCGCTCACTTTAAGTTATTTACAACTTCAGCGGTCACTGATGACACTATG